CCGGGTTCAAAATTTTTGGATCCGACAGGCTTTACTATGAAATAAAACTTTTTCACTGGTACATAGAGGTTTTTTTTTGGTCTTGAAACTGTGAACCAGTGTATTTTTTGTTCTTCATTACTTAACATATGAAGAATAAAGTTGTCACAGAGAAGTTCATTTCAGAATGAGACGAATGTTATATTCAAAATCAATCGAAAAATTCGTATTGAATAATATATTTAATTCTTAAAATTGATTTTCGTCAAATTTCAATTGTTAGACCTTCAACATTGTTATTTTCGAATATTCTGATCTGTACTTTTTCCTAAGATTGAAATTTAATGAAAATATGTTTTAAGTGTTGAATGCAGATTTTTGTACTGATTCTGATGTGATAGTCAAAATCTTCAAATACAAATATATTTTATTAGAAAAACCCATTTTCTCAATATCATCGATGCTTTTTCAGTGTATTTCAATTTTTATATGGGTAACTTGATGAGCTAAAAAAAAAAGTTTATTGCTCAAATTTCGACACGTTATATATTTATCTTTTAAATAGGAATAAATATTTTAATTTTTTACTAGATCTTTAACACTTTTATGTCCTACAGCAGAACAACATTTTCCATTTATGACAAAAGATATCAATATTCAAGTAATATATATTAAAAATTTACTTCGATCATTATCATATTTATCAATTCAAAGATCACGTTATCTTGAAATAATTCTTTCGAAATTAATTCGTATCGATGTAAGTATTTATAAAAAAAAAACAAATAAAAATATTTTATTTTTAATTTTTAATAATAACTAAAAATATATATATATAAATAAATAAATAAACAAAGGTTCATGCATCACGACAAGATATACTTCATGCAGAAAAAATAAATATTGAAAATGAACTTGTCTTTTCACTTGAACAACTCAATACAAATGATAATAATGAAATGAAACATGATCATGCTGATAAACTTGATTGTCTTATGTTTGTTTTATTTGAATATATAACAAATATATCTATTGATAATGGTAAAATATAATTTTAATGAATACTAAAAAATAAAAAAAAAAACAAAAAAAATTATATTTAATCGAATAATTTAATTTTAGGTATAATAAATTATCAACAAACAAAATTATTATTTAAAGATTTATTAAATGTTTTCAATAAAATTCTTTTACCAACACATGATTCATCTCATATACAATTTCTTATATTTTATATTTGTAGTTTTCATACGGTATGTTAAAAAACAAATATTCAACGACAGAATCGACTCAGCATAGTGAATTTCCTCTGCCTAACAGTTTTCCCAAATGATTACAGGTCAATTGGCTGAAATCAGAGGTCTCAGAACAAGTTAAGAATATCGGCCTTGTATAGATGAAAAGAGAACATTTTTTTATCGTAACCTTGCATCATAGTTTATTAACTGCTTAATGAAAGTATACATGTGATTCAAACTGGACAAAGATCGTTTAGTAGGAAGCTGCTGGCCCACGTTTTCGTGGATCAGGATCTAAACCCGAGGTTTTTAGGTATTTATTCACTACTCTAAGAAAAAAAACTCAACGTACAGTTATATCTTGTTGCTGGATTTCTCATCTGGGGAGCAGGGGTCCACAAAAACATATAAACGAGCCCAACAAAATAAAAGATTGAACCCGGATCCGCAGCTTCCTACCGTTTGGTATAATGTCTGCTATACCGACGATAGAGACAAAAGCCGCCGACATTTTAATACTTAAATGGACGGCTATTTTCTACTACGGTATGCCGATAGTTATTCTCTGATCGACAATCTACTTCGGGTTATACCATCGACACCGCGGTATACTGGTAGTAGTGCGAACAAATGTGTAACATGAGTAGGTTTACGCCGAGAATTTCTCATATATAGAATGTATTCAAGATATTGGTGAAGTTTGTATGAGTTATAGTTAAGGTTTTATTGAGAGATTCGATCGAAATCAAATCCAGAACTAATTCATATTTGTCATATTAAATTTCATGAATCTTCGTTATCTATATTCTTTTTTTGTTAATTATATACTAGGATTTTAGTGATGAATTTATGAATAATTGTTGGAAAACATTTATATCACCATCAGTTTCAATGACATTTCGACAGGCAGCTATTTCTTATTTATGTAGTTTAATTGCTCGAGCTAAATATATTACAACAAGGTAGTAAATTGTTTGTTTGTTTTTTGTTTTGTTCTCTTAAGTTAATCAAACTTATATTTTGTTATCTAGATCTGTATTAACTATAACACAATTAATGGTTGAGTGGTTACATGCTTATGTTAGTACAACAGAAAAAACTAGTGGTAATGCAAATCCAAATCGACATTTACCATTTTATGCTATCTGTCAAGCAGTTCTATATATATTTATTTATCGACATCATGAAATAGCTCGATTACCTGATGGTAACAAAAACAATCTTGATTTCTTTTTTTATTCTTAATTTTTTTTGAATATTTTTATCCTATATAGGTATTGAAATAGTATCAAATTGGCGATTAAATCATATTATTGTATCAGAATTAAATCCACTTAAATATTGTTTACCTGCTGTTACTCTTCGATTTGCTCAATTAGCAAGGTAATATTTTTGAAAAACAAGAAAAAAAAAAAAAGAAATTTATATTTTAATTTTTATTAGAAATTATCAAATTGTTTTTTGTTATTCAATTATTGAAACAAATAATCGTTATTCATTACCAGAATCATCATTTACAACAAATGGTCATTACAATGATAATTCACCAATAATACCATCAAATATTCTTTATTCTTATTTTCCATTTGATCCATATGTATTAAAGCGTTCATCAATATTTATTCGATCTATTTATAATGATTATCGAGATGAAAATGAGGATATTACTACTACTACTACTAAAGATTCAGAAGATCATAGTGTAAGTAAAATCTAGTTCGAAATAGAAGACTTTTGTTTTAAGTAGAAAAACCTACTAGCATAAACTCTGTAGGATTAAAATATGAAACACGATGTAGCTGTTGTTTCTAATCACAAGGATTTAGGATTGACTTAATCGTTCAGAAAACTAATAAAAAAGTATTAGTTCATATATTAGAATGAAACGTTATCGATATACAGTCTTTAATTGTATATCTATAACGTCTGTCAGCAAGTAATTAACGCCTGTTTATCTCGGATCACCTATCCAATAGCATGCTGACTACCTTGTGACTAGTTAGTGTGTATGGGAAGCTCAAGAACTTTGCGTCAGATTGAACCGCCTCGTGAAATTTTAACGAAATTTCATTATATATTTAGTGTACGGCATCAATTAGAGTCTATAAGAACATTCTGCGAGTCTTGATTAGAACAAGAGGAAAGTTAGACCGATAAATACCTGTAGACCAAGTCTCGAAATGGACCGCCCGGCTCAACGATTTTATTCTTTTTTGATATAACCTTTTCTTAAATTTGGCCCACCCCTGAAGGGAAAGCTTCTTCATGCTACCATCCTTGGCCATCACTATTTATAAAAGCCGAAAAATATGGAATAGCTGTCTATTGAGAAAAAAAAATCTTTCTAAACAAAGTTTCTCTCGGGCCGGGCCATAAAAAAGTGATCCGATTTCGAGGTCTGCTGTAGACCGGTTGGTACCGATTCCATCTCTGACAGTTAGTTGTAGGGAAGATATTGAACTACTGGATCTCCCATTAGATAGCACCCTATACTGCAAGGCAGGAGTATTCTTCCTTCCTGTGATGGATGTGATGCGGGAGAATATAAGATTCACAAGAGCACAATCCTACGTTAATCATGTGTTTAAAACATTTTTATGAATATTTTTTCGAATGGATACCTCTCAACAAATCTTAACTTTCGGATATTCTCTTTCTTGTAGAGAAGAGTCCAGTAAACATAAATTGTCTGCCTATTTGCTTGTGTGCCCGCACTTCACTGATTGGCCGGAGATCAATCCAAGAAGAAAAGGGGTAATTATCTTAAAAACTTCAGCAAAGGTAATTGAAGGTGGAGAATTGGAATCTGAGATCAGTTTTAACTAATTAATTATTATTTAATTATTAACTGATTATTAATTATTAATATTTTCTAAAAAACTTGAGCAAAGGTAATCAAGGATGGGAAATCCAAATTCGAGGGCAGTTTTAATTAATAAATTAATAATTAACTGATTAATAACTATTAATTTTTTTCAAAAAAGTTGGCCAAAGGTAATCGAGGGTGGACAATCCGAATCCAAGGTCAGTTTTAATTATTAATGTATTATTATTTAATTATTAATTATTAATATTTTCGACAAAACTTGATCGAGGGTGGAAAACCCAAATCTGCGGTCTACTTTAATTATTAATCATTAGTATTTTTTACAATACTCGAAAAGGAGAAATTGAGAGTCAAGAATCTGAATCCGAAGTCTGTTGATTTTTTTCTAAGTACTACTATTATTAGTGTCTTTTCTGGAAAACTTGATTAAAGATTTTTCAAATAAAAAACGAGAATCTATGATAAGTTTGTGATAATAAGCTAGCAATGCTAAGGAGTATAGTCTAATTAAATGAAATTATATTTCTAATTTTTCTAGGAACAAAATATTGATGATTGTGATGATGTATTAACATCAATGATGATGAGTACAACACCTGGTAGTTTTGAATCAACTGATCAAATGTCATCATTATCAACATCATTGAAAAATTCTCGTAATCCTCCATCAATATTACCATTTGGTCGTTCACCAGGTTTTCGAAATATTTGATGACAATCTTCTTGTTTTTGAATTTTTGTTCTGTTATATCTAATTAGTCATTTCGTCTTTCATTCAAATGAAAAGAGAGATGTTGTTTGTTTTCATTTTTAATAAAAAGAAAAAAAAGAAAACGATAATAAATCAAACATTCATATAATCACATAATAGAATAATAAATTACAAAAAAAGAAAGAAAAATTTTTATTATTAAAATTAAAAGAATATGCATGTGTATTTCATTAGTACATTTGTTTTAATTAAATGTTACTGCTGCTTCATGTAATTCTGATGTAATCTATAAAATAAAAACAAACAAATAAATTTCAATCATACTGAATAGTAAAAATAAAATTTACTTTTTCATAAAATTGAATTTGTTCATTCATAAGTATTTTCATATATAAATTAAAATCTTTAACTTTTTCTTTTTGAAAAAAATTTATTTCAGCTAAAACAACATGATTAAGAACTTGATTACGATTTACGACACTATTAAAATCTGATATTGTTGATAGACTACGATGTTGTAAATTTCGCATAAATTCTGATCCACTCTAAAATAATCCGTTTCAATTATCAAAACAAAAAAAACATCCAATTCAATTCATTTATTTACTCGTTGAATATTTAATATCAATGGAAGACAAGCCAATAGACCAATATATTCTTGAATACGTTCATTAAAATCTCGAATACCTTCACTAACCTAAATACAAAAAAAAAAATTTACAAATCATAAAATTTTCAGCTGAAACTCCCAGGATATTCCAAGGATCATTAGAGCTATCTATGAGGTCGAAAATTCAGTAAAACGGTCATAACAAAGCTGCAATTGTTTTTGTTTTTGATTTAATAAAGCATGTGAAGCCATAATACTCATTTTTTGAATGAAATTTTTTTTTAATGATTCTATCGAAAAGTACATCTATAATAAGATAAATGGATTCTTAGGCACTGCATACTGGCATGCTCTTTGAAATAAGAAAAAAAACAATTAAATTTATAAAATGAAAGCCTACAGAGAATGCTGAGTTGTCAAATGAGTTTTTTTTTTAAACCTTTGTTTATTGAATATCTCTCAAAAACATCATGACATAAGGTTGAATGAGTTCATGGAATTTGAATGCACTTGATTCAAGATCGTTTATCTAGGAGGGAAAGTTAATTAGTAAAATAAAATTCTTCATACTGTTAGTAATATTGATTTTAATGAGCGAAGACTTCAATTATGGTAATTGTAAGTCTCTATATATATTCCTAATAAAGAATATTTGAACGAGTTCTGATCAGAATTGACTAATAATAAGAAATCATCCAATTCCAATTTTTCTTATCTACACGAGATAAGTTTTACTGTGCCAGTATTTTTATTTCAACTCTTGAGGGTAGAGATGAAAATCACATAGATATGAACGTCATTCGAAATAATTCTTATAAAATTGTTTGGCTTGATATTTCAATGGGATAAGTTAAAATTGAGAAATATTAAAATCAGTGACGATTTATTTATGTATGTCCAAAAATGGAAAGATTGTATTTAGAAATCTGTATTTTTTTCGTTTTTGAGATTAAAGAACTCAGCATACATGTATAAGTTTGTTTTGTTTTTGATGCCAAAATATGTGATGTCTTTCATCTTAACAATTCAATAGTAAAATTTTCTCAAGATATATTTGAAATTTTGTTTTCTATCTGATGATTTAACGGTTTCGGTCTCACATGACATATTGAGAACCGAACCGGAATCGCTATTTTGATTTCGGGTAATTTCTAGAATCGTGCAAAACTCTACTGATGAGTAGTGTAACAATGCAAATTAGATTGAATATTTGGGTCTTTGTTGCTGTAATATCAAACTTTTAGTCTATTTTTTCCTGCAAAATTCCAATAGACCAGTAAAATCATACTTTTATTTTTGATCTAAAACTTTTCCCACATGAAGATCTTCCTTAGACTAGCTTGGATAACAAAAAAAGCATTCAGAATTATTTTTTTTGTTTGGTCGCTGTATCTCTAAGATATTAAAGTCTTATAATGTATATCTCGGATATATAATAACCAAAAAATTCCAAATGTTTTTTTTTATTCAAGTTAGTCTAATTAAAGTCTTCATTTCAGCAAAGTTTCACATAGAAAAAAGAAAATATGATTTTTCTTACAAGTTGAGATCTTGCAGAAAAAATAGACACAAGGTTTGGTACCTGAACAATAAAATTTCAAATACATAGTTCAACTTGGATTGTCAAACTACTCACCATCTCCTATTTAATGAATATAGTCTTAGTCGAAAAGTGGCATTTCAGTTGGTTAGTAAAGTTTTATAGAAAATCGTCAAAACTTATTTATACTGTACTCAAAAATAAAAATTCTTATCATTGACATTATTTGCTTGTATATTACTTAATGCCTATGGAATTCTGGGTAATACCAAACATTTAACATCGATTAGATTATGCGTTAATGTATCTCTATTAAGATTTTTTTTTTCTTTGTATTGTAGAGATTCTTAGCATGAATTTGTGAATGAAACTTTGAAAATTTTTGATAGTTTTTTTATGGTTTTTCAATAGGAAATGAACATTTTCAAATTAACGATTGCATTGAGCAAAATCTGATCTCATATTCGGATAGAGCATACTCGAATGTATATAGTCACATAGACTATTCTTTCTACAAGAGTGCAAAGTGGTCGAGAGCCAGCAAATAACTTGAGTCAAGGGGATGATTCTATCATTTTGACCCGGACTGTATATGAAAATTATATGTCTAATTAAATATTCATTTTATTGAAATCTGATATCATTTCATAATTAATTATCATTTCAAATTGAAAAAATGGTCTTTCTTTTTCTTTATGTAAATACGATGATCACATATACATATACAACAGACGACGGTATCAACAAAAGACTTTTTTTTGCAAAATATATGAATACATATAAGGAATAATTTTTCATCACTGTTCTGAATACTTTTTCTCTTCACTCAGACGTTGATATCCACAAATAAAAAGAAAAGTTGCAAAGAAGAAAATAAACAAAATGCTGGTCAATATGTATATATTTGCGTGTGTTGTACTCCACCAAAGAAAAAATCTATCCAAATTAAATGTAATGAGAGAAGAATGATAAAAAGAAAACTAAGACATTTTAGTAGCATAAATAGGAAAAAAAAGAACAAAAAGATAGAATTAATATATTAAAAAAAGTTAGATATAGTGAATAAGTCGTTCGAGTGCTGCTTCCACATTCCCCATTGTTGCAATAAGTGCTTAAAAAAAAAGAAAATAAAAGTAAAAATTAATGGAAACAAAAAAATAGATTGATTTACCTTCTAAATTTCTTTCACGATCAGTAAAACCACGTGAAGCAAGTTCGTCCAATTGAGCAGCATAATGTTGATCCTGTGGTGTATTTTATAAGATAAAATCTTGGGTGGGTGTGGGGTGTGGGTGGGTGTGGGGTGTGGGTGGGTGTGGGTGTGGGTGTGGGTGTGGGTGTGGGTGTGGGTAGGTGTGGGTGGGTGTGGGTGTGAGTGACAAGAAGACCAACAACCACACCCACACCCAAACCCCACACCCACACCCACACCCACACCCACACCCTTCTTTACAACCATTTATTGTTTCTTCAAGTTGTTCTAAAACGAATACTGCTTCAAATAACTTCAGTAATATTAAATCTTCTTACTTTTTTGTTTCAATTTTTGTTCTAATTTTTTTTTTAAATCACGTTGTTCAGCACGTAGATCATCATATAATGCATCAAAACGATCGATATTCTTCATTTGTTCATCAATACTGTTCAATTTATTTATTATTTGGCCAATCTAAAACGTGTAAAAATATAATCTTAAAATAGAAGATAATGGGAAAGATACTTCTTCTGTAATTTCAGATAAAAAGCATTCCTCGAATATAATATGTGCCATATCCAAGATAACAAAATGAATGAATTCGTACGAAGAAAAGAAATGGTCTAGTCGAAATAGATTTTGTTTTTCTTTTTGTTTTTCTTTTCTTCTTTTCAAATTCTAGTCGTTCTCTTTTGAATATGTACGAATGTCCGTCGATTATTACAAGACGACGAATAAACAAATAAGAAGAAAAACAATTCAATGTGGTCACATAACTATTACTAAATCATAGGATGTTTCTATAAAGAATAATAGTCTCAGTATTTTATAGATGTTTCTGTTAGATTACATTATCAGAATTTAATCTTTATCTAAAAATTGTCTCGTTCAATTGTCTACAATTGAAGAATTCGAAAGATGATGAATTTTACATCAGAACAAAAAAAGAAAAAATTTCTACAGAGAAATAATTATAGAGTTAGAAAAAAACGAAATAGATACTTTTAATCAATAGTTTTTAAAAGTAATCGATGTCTTTTTTGAATGGAATAAATTATACAAAATGATTATTTTTTCTCATTAATGTTATGCTGTGTACATGATCGAAAACTGCATGAAAATAATTATTTTTTTAAATGAAAGAAATTAAAAAAAAACCAATGGATAAAAATGGCAGTATTTTCGTTTTGTTTTTGTTTGTATTGTTTATAGCGCCTCACAAATTGATTTTCATCATTTTTTCAATAACCGATGAAAAGCGAAATCGAACGTCATGACATTCTATTTAGGAGTTCAACATGTAGCCAAAGGAGCTATTCACACATCTCTATCCTAATCTAACAAGTCAGAGTGAAGCTGTTCGAGAGAAATCATATTATTTCATCATGAAAACAATTCGAAAGTAGTGTCATAAGTTTGATGTTGCCGAGTTGACAAAAGAAATATAGTGAAAGTAATTTTAATTTTGTGAACTTCGTCAAAGTCTCAAAATTTTTTGATGAATATGTACAAA